TGGAGGTTGCGGTGAGCCAAGACCGCACCATTTCACTCCAGCCTGTGCAAGAAGAGCGAAACTCGTCTCAACAAAAACAGAGACAAAGAGCCCACACAGCGAGGGCCCGGCTTATCACCTCGTGCGGGAATGTCTTTCCCTGTTTCAGGCTCAATGTGTGCTCCTTTGTCCTGTTTAAGCAGGTGTGTTAATGGCCCTCAGGGATGCCTCTGGCTATCAGTGTTTTAGACCCCACAGGGGCAGGGAGGAGACAGGGTCCTTCTGCTGCTGCATGAAACAGGTGCGGGGGGTGTGTCTGCTGCGAGGGGACTCACTGGTCATGGGGGACCAGCATCCACTATTGAAGCCAATTTTGCTGTCTCTTCTCTGTGTGAGTAAAGCACTGTTCCATTCAGGGTTCAACTGTGTTGTGTTTCCGTTGGTGACTCAGACACCAGAATGCAGTGGGCGGAAGGGCTGGGTCTTCTGTTCCTGATAATAGGCAACAGATGTCACTTGCTTGACAGTTTGGCTCAGTGAGCAAGTCTCTATGAGACGCATCATGATGGGGTAGAAATGCAAGGGCTTGTCAGCCACATTGCCCCAAGGTGTTGCAGACTCTCTGGGGTGTAGAGGGGCAGGGGAGGCTGGCCTCCCTCTGATCACAGGGTGATATTCCCATGGTGTCCCAGGGGCTACAGACAATGTCAGAGGGAAGTGGGAGGAGCCCCTAGTGCAGAGAGTTTCACCTATCCCAGTCACTTGCTGGCCTCAAATAAGATCTGTTTGCACTCAACACAGAACCACCAATGGCACTGCTGAAAACAGAACTGTGGAAATGAGGTCCTTCTCTGAGAATGAAACACAAAAATGGAAGGACAAATATGGACGAATGCCAGGGAAGTCTCACGCAGCCTGGCTGGCACATCTGTTCGATAAAGGGACAATATACACACAAATGTCTCAGGCCAAATGGCACAGTTAAGGATGAGGCCAGTTGAAACAGGGTCCTTTGCAGCAGTAGCCTTGGAAGTTGTTTAATAAACCATGGACCAGACACTGCCTTTGCAGCCTTTGGAGCCTGCTGGCCCCACAGAACTGCTGGTGACCCCAAAATCTACACATGCCAATTGGAGTCTGTGGCAGCAGGAAACTGCCACTAGAGGACACCAGCCTCTCCAATCTTTGACATATAATTGCCTGAGGCAGCCACCAGATACACCCCTTTCAAACAGCAGCTCCTTGCTTGCTATTGGGCACTGGTGGAGGCTGAGCATCCTATAGCCAGAGCGCTGCGTATGATGCTATGACCTAAACTGCCCATTCTCACTTTCGTGTTTATGAATCCTATCAATAAAATTGGATAGGCTCAGAGCTTAATTAGCAAATGGAAACGGAACATCCAAGATCAGGCCCAGCCAGGACCACAGGAACTAAAATCCGCCATAAACAAACAGCCAGCTTAGCAAAAGGAATGAAGAGACCCACTGTTAATGCTTTGCCCCTCCAGTCGTGACCTGGGGTCCAGGATTCAAAGATGTACCTGCCAATGGTATGACATGGTTTACTGATGAGTCTTCGAAACAAAGCAAATGGGGTGCCCTGGCTTGTGGCTACCATCTGGCTAGCAGATGGTCATCTTTTGACTTGACTGGATATGAATGTTCTCCCTAATGGGCCAAACTGTGTGCAGTGGTGATGACCACACAGGCCACACCTACCACTATACCTTGCTACTTTTCACTGACTCATGGGATGTTGCCAAAAGTCTAACATGTGATTGGGGAATGGCAGCTGAATGACTGCACTACTGAGAGATCCCCCACGTGGGGACAAGAACTATGGAAGCAGCTTGCTGACTGGGAAGGATGAATATATGTCACTCACGTGGATGCTCATAGAAAACGGCCTTTTGAGATGGATCATGAATGAAACTCTCACCAATCAAGCTTATGCCCTATGAGTGACAACCGACTGCTTGATACATCAACCCACTAGACATGGAAGTCCGCCACAGACACAAGAAGGCGCCAAGGCCTGAGGGATGATCCTGAAAGATGAGACTAAGGATGCAGTACAATCTTGTGATTCTTGCCAATGGGCCTAAATTGTTTCGAGAGGAAAATTAGGGCACATAAACTGAGAACTAGGACACACCTAAGTCTGGTAGGTTGACCTCATTGGACCCTTGACCCCTAGCCATGGGCCCCATTGGTGCCTCACTGCCACTGACACCTACTCAGGCTATCGTGTTGCCATTCCAGTCTGTCCTATGGATGCTATAGCTACCATAGGGGCCCTTGAAAAGAACTTATGTTTTTGGATACCCCAAGAGACTTCACTCTGACCAAGGAACCTCTTTCATTGTCCAAGCAATACAACAATGGGTGGATCTTTGTTTTTTTTTTTTTTTTGAAACAGAGTTTCGCTCTTGTTGCCCAGGCTGGAGTGCAATGGCATGATCTTGGCTCACTACAACCTCCACCTCCCGGGTTAAAGCAATTCTCCTGTCTCAGCCTTCCAAGTAGCTGGGATTACAGGCGTGCACCACTGACTTCCATGGAATATGATGGACTTTCCACGCACCCTGTCATCCACAGGGACATGGAGCCATTGAACAATGGAACATCCCACTCACACAGTCACTGATGAAAGGACATGTGGCCTGCGAATGGTGTGGCACCCCTGTCTCACCAGGGCAATGTAGACAGTGAACACTCCATTTTAGCACAACAGAAACATGGCTCAAGGTGTTCAGTGTGCGCAGTGTGCGCATCAACGACCTTCAGACACACTCCCCCAGCTCTCAGTGTTTCACACTCTGTGCTGGTGGGGTGAGTGTAGGTAGTCAGGGCAGGGGCGGGGGTGTCAAAAGGTCATGCTGCTATAGCACAAGAGAGGTACATGGAGGCCAATTGCCCTGTGTCTGCTGTAGGGGGACCCATTGGCCATGGGGGACCAACACCCACTATTGAAGCTGCTTCTGCTCTGTCTCTTCTCTGTGTGAGTAAATCATTGTTCTGTCCCATTCTTGACTGCACTTGGACTTCTGCTCCTGATAATAGGTGTCAACCGTAAATAATGAGATTCAGAAACTGAATGCATATCAACTGGACAGGATAGCACTTACATATCTATAGACAAGAGTTGACTGCATCTCATAACTGTCTGCAATTTACAGAGTTGTGAAAAAGCTTCCATAGAATCTGAGTAAGATAACCCAAAGGAATTTCCTCAACAGTTTCTCTGGGCTGGGCAAGGTGGCGTGCACTTGTAATCCCAGTGCTTTGGAAGGCTGTTGTGGGAGGATCACTTCAGCCCAGGAGTTCGAGACCAGCCTGAGCAAGAGAGAGAGACCCCATCTCTACTAAAAGCAAACAAACAAACAAACAAAAGCCAGGCCTAGTGGCACAAGCCTGTAGTCTCACCTACTCGGGAGGCTCAGGTGGGAGGATCACTTGAGCCCAAGACTTCAAGTTTACAGTGAGCTACAATCGTGCCACTGCACTCCAGCCTGGGCGATAGAGCCAGACCCTGTCTTTAAGAAAAGGGTTTCTCTGGATGATGCATTGGTTTTCACCACGGCACCACTCTTCCCAGCACTGCTCAGTCTTTCTCCACCCTTGACTCCAGTGTCTATCAACCATAAATAGCTTTCACCACCCCACCCCACCAGCTTCTACAAAGACTGTCTATTGACTCCAACATCCACACTAAACGTCTCTTCCTGCCTTTCAAGATTCCCTTTAATCCAGCATCACTCTCTTTGTATAACTACCTCTTATTCCAGGCAGGCCTGATCTCTCCACCCCCAAGCCAAGCCAGCACCCTCCCACACATTCTCCTGACTCAGATCTCCACCTCAATCATCTATAGCATTCTCATTCTGCTGGCTCCTTTCAAGCTTTCTCTTTGTTTTTGCTTCTATTATCTGAAAGCCACACATAGCACCCATCCTGTTCTTTAATTATAGATGCTACCTGCACTAGACCTTGATCATGAATTCATTCAAACATATTATGAGCACCCTGTATTGGTTCCAGGGACAGTCTAAATGCTAGATCTAGGTACTCGCTATGCAGAGATGAAAAAGGCATGGCTCCCTAGATGACTGGGGGGAAACAGACAATAAGAATGAAACCACCTTTGCAAATATTATAACTAAGAATATTATGACAGCAGGCCGGGAGCGGTGGCTCACGCCTATAATCCCAGCACTTTGTGAGGCCAAGGCAGGCGGATCACGAGGTCAGGATTTCGAGACCAGCCTGGCCAACATGGTGAAACCTCGCCTCTACTAAAAACACAAAAATTTGCCGGGCACAGTGGCTCACGTCTGTAATCCCAGCACTTTGGGAGGCTGAGGCGGATGGATCACCGGAGGTCAAGAGTTCAAGAGCAGCCTGGCCAAGATGGCCAAACACTGTCTCTACTAAAAATACAGAAATTAGCCGGGCGTGGTGTTGGGCGCCTGTAGTCCCAGCTACTCGAGAGGCTGAGGCAGGAGAATCTCTTGAACCCGGGAGGCAGGGGTTGCAGTGAGTTAAGATCGCGCCATTGCACTCCAGCCAGGGATACAGGAGGGAGACTCCGCCTCAAAAAAAAAAAAAAAAAAAAAGATTAGCTGGGCGTGGTGGCAGGCGCCGGTAACCCCAGCTACTCAGGAGGATGAGGCAGGAGAATCGTTTGAACTAGGGAGGCGGAGGCTGCAGTGAGCCGAGATAACTCCATTGCACTCCAACCTGGGCGACAGAGTGAGACTCCGACTCAAAAAAACAAAACAAACAAAAAAACGAAAACTCAGTAGGAGTGTCTTACTATTCAGCAACTTTGAGAACAAGCTCTGACACTCAGTTCCTATTTCCCGGGAGCTGCCCAGCGCTCCGCCCACGCCCGCTCTCAGAGCTCGCCTCGCCTCCGTCCCACCCATCGTGTGACGTCACCCTCTCGGTCCCGCCCCTCTACTTCGCGTTCGTCCCGGGACTGTAAACCGCGTCCGGAAGCCCCGCCTTTTCGCCCCCGCCCGCATGCGCACGCGCACACGAATGCGGGAGCACCCTTGAGTCACCTCAACAGCCGCGGGTTGGTCCCAACAGTCCAGTCGGCCGGTGCTGCCCATCCGCCCCACCCCGCAGACGCAAGTCCGCTCGCCGGCGTCCGAGCCCGTTCGCGCGCGCGCCGTCTGCACCCCGAAAGCCACGCCCCCAGGCGCGCGCCCGCCCACCGCTCTCCACGTGCTCGCTGGAGGGCGGCGCGAGGGGCTGAGCCGACAAGATGTTCTTGCTGCCTCTTCCGGCTGCGGGGCGAGTTGTCGTCCGACGTCTGGCGGTGAGACGTTTGGGGAGCCGGGATCTCTCCGCCGCAGACATGACGAAGGTGAGAGGCGGCGGCTCGCTCTCGGTGCGATGCTGGGGCCATGCCCGTGGGCGACTGGGCTGCTGGGCGGGTCGAAGCTGCGGTGTGCGGGGCGTCCACGCCAAGTTGCAAAAATCAGTTTAAAAGAAAAATTCTCTCCTTGCGGGGATCGGCCTAGGCCACTGAGGACCCCAGCGATCGTATTGAGGGCGCGCTTCCCGTTTGGGGCGAGGGGGTGATGGCTGTAGCCGCCCTTTACCTGGCTCCGCTCGGCCGCGCGCCTGCTCCGGTTGTCACCCGCGGTCCTCGCAGTAACCCGGGGAAGGACGCAGCGGTGGGGCCCCCACCCGAGCTTGGGGGAGTTTGCCAAGGTGAAAGGGTTTCTGAGGTCCCAGAGTCACAGGGCTCTTTCCCCCGCGGAAGTGAAAGGTCAGGGAGTTAAGTGGTTTGGAAGGGTTTCTAGAGGAAATGCATGTCTTTCTAGAGAAAAGGGCTTTGCAGAGAGACTCACATTTCCCAGAATTAAGAGCACCTTCCAGAAGAAAAGTGAACTCCAAAAAATTACGAAGGTCGCTCGTCAGATGTGAAGGATCTGGAAAGGGAATGGCTCTCGGAACCAGCGCAAGCTTGGGAGTCACACCTGAGCACCAGAAAGAGATGACTGTCCCTGCAGAAGAACGTTCTAGGTGGAGCTTGAGCTCCAGTCTCCTGCAGGTATCTCAGTGGCTGAGGGACCAGTCGCCTGACCAGTGCTGTCTCCAGTACTGTGCCACAGCCTACCCAGATAACAGTTGCCCAGTTGGCTTGATTCCCGGGGAGTGAACAATCTTAGGAGAGTTAGAACCTGGCAGAGTTAATAATGCCAAGGAAGGCTGTTGTCTTGGGTGGAAAAGACCGAGAGGTCACTATTCTGAGTGTCTGTGTGGTTTTGTGGAAAGACCAACTGATGGGTGGGAAGACATCTGGATTCTCACTCAGTCCTTCTACACAGGAGCTCCTTTGTCAAATTAGGTTTCAGTTTCCTTATCGGTCAAGAGGGAATGAGACTACTTGTTCTTTCCACCTCGCAGAATTGCCGTCAGGCAGACGAAACATTTTTAAAGTCATCAATTGTCGTGCAAAAGTAAATACTAAGTATTACTAGGTTTACTTCCTCATTTCTGGTATTTGAGACCTGGGACTTGCAAAGGAGAAGAAGGGAGTGAGCCGCTAAGTGCTTAGCAGAATGCTTCTACCCTCTCTAGGAAGTTGGTACTTCTCTTACAGCCTCTGTGTTGACCGCAGTCCTTACGTGGCAACAGTCCTTATGATGGGAGGCACAGCCATTGCCTTGATTGGAACGGCATCCTAGGATATCTGGGATTTACACTTGAGTATTGTAGGAGAGGAAAATCTTCCTTCTATCCTCCTAGGTTCTGTGGCTGGGCCTAAGAAGACTGACGTAAGATATATTAAGAGAAAAGAATACAGATTTTATTTACTATTTTTACGTGTACACGGGAGTCTGCAAGAGGAAAATGAAGACCTGAAGAAGCGTTGGGCCCAAAAGCTTGTATACCTTTCTAAACAAAGGACAATACATTGTGGGGATGTGACAAGACAAAGGGGCTTGGATTAGTAAACTGTGGAATAATCACTAGGAAATCATACGGTGGGGGGAACTAATAGAAGATAAGGGTAAGTTCAGTAGGTTTATTTGTACAGGTCCATTTTGGTGTTGACTTCGTTTCTGGTGATAAGAATGTTCTCCTTTTCCTGGTACAGGGAGATCACCTTTCTCATGGGGATTTGTATGACCTGCTTTTAGGGAGAAAGGGAGGTCAGAGAGCCCTTCTACACCTGCTGTTTCTCAAGCGCCTTTAGCTCAAAATAACCAGTGTGCCAAAGCGGTACATTTTGGAGTGGCATGTTCTGATTCCTTTCAGGGTCTAACTTGGATTTTTCGTAACAAATCCATTTTTCTAAATGGATTTTTCTTAAACAAAACATCTTTCTGCTCTATTTGAAAGTGAAGCTGTCTCCCGCGAGTGAGCACAAAAACCCAGGGCAATGTCCAGGACGGGTAGTGATGGGTCTTGCTTTGGCAGGAATCTGAAACACTTGGGCAGGTGCACATGTAGCTGAGCCCAGCTCCTGCTGCCTTTTTGGCTTTCTTCTGTCCTTGGGGAGGACAAGGTTTGTGTGGAATTATTTGTTCCTTCTGGAATCTGGGGACTCCTGAGCCCCTCTAAGGGATCTACTCTAATTATATGTTATTTATGTTTTTTGCTTATTCCCAGGGCCTTGTTTTAGGAATCTATTCCAAAGAAAAAGAAGATGATGTGCCGCAGTTCACAAGTGCAGGAGAGAATTTTGATAAATTGATAGCTGGAAAGCTGAGAGAGACTTTGAACATGTAAGTGTCGCTTGTGGGCTCTAGTTCTTAAAGTGCCACCAAATCAAAATGGTATTTTTTCTTTTATTTTTTGAAACAGTGTCTTACTGTGTTGCCCAGGCTGGAATGCAGTGGCACGATCTTGACTCACTGCAACCTCTGCCTCCTGGGTTAAAGTGGTTCTCATGCCTCAGACGTCCAAGTATCTGGGATCACAGGCATGCCCCACCACTCCTGGCTAATTTATATATATATATATATTTTTTTTTTTTTTTTTTTTTTTTAGTAGAGATGGGTTTCACCGTCGTTGGCCAGGTTGGTGTTGAACCCCTGGCCTCAAGTGATCTGCCTGCCTCCGCCTCTCAAAGTGCTGGGATTACAGGTGTGAGCCACTGTGCCAGGCCAAGAATATTTTTCTGTGCCTTTTTGTCAGAAGAGACAATTCTGGGAAGTGCTCTGGCCAGAAGCAGAAGTGAAAGCCTGTGTCTTTGGAATGCACTTTGGTACTTTGTTTCAGTATGAATGGGTCTGCAGTTCTGGGAAGTCAGGCCATTTCCAGCCCAATCACAAATCTATTGGGAAGGAGGGATCCAGAATAATCTGGAAAGTACCAGATTTCCTCAGCCCACCCTCCTAGCTCAAATTCACTTTCCCCACCCTCTTCCTCCCAGCTGCCTTCTCACCAGCTTCTCTACTTCTTTTAACTCCCCTTTTCTTGTGAGAGACAGCAGGATCCCTAAGATAGTTAATAGCCTAAGGGTTTTGCTCTTTTATTGCATGCCTGGAGTTGCAAGGGTTTCTCAAAATTTAAAATATCTGTGAATCACCTGGGGATACAGTTAAAATACAAAAAGTCTCCGTGGGGCTGGAGATCCTGACAGCAGGGAAACATTGTAACTGCGCGGTATATTTGGCAGACATAGAAATATTCACGTAAACCACTGCAACTACGGTATTAATTAGAATCTAATAGATGCAGTCTAATTATGGTAACTAATCATCAGTTAAGAGAATTTGTATCTCTTCTCAATTTCTTATCAGTTCTTGCAGTACACAGAGCATTCTCAAGTGCACTGATTAATTCACTAATCCGAAAGCTAACCTGTGAGTACGGAACACCCTGCGTTCCTAATGGATGGCTGTCAGCTGCATTCCAGAGCATCTGTGCTACGGGCCTTTTATAGTCATGGATCTGTTTTGTTTGGAAATTGCCCAGGATAGTCAGTATCCGGTTCGGGTGTCCGGTCTGTAGAGAAACCACATAGATATACAACCTCCAGGCCAAACACCACTTAGATTACTGCAGTGTTTTTGGTGTCTTGTGTCTTTTATTGAAAAAGTTTGAGATTCATTGGGTTCAGCGTCAGTCAGTGCTCAGATGCCTTGTGCAGCTGTGGCATTGCTTTCCATTGTTTTCAAATATGTTTGTGTTAGATCTAATCTGAAAGTTTGTTAAATAGTTTTTGAGCTAGAATTAGAAAGGCTACACCTAAGAAATCTGGGCTGGGCACGGTAGATCAGCAGTGTAATCTGTATTACACCTGTCATCCCAACACCTTGGGAGGTTGAGGTGGGAGGATTGCTTGAGCCCGGGAGTTTGAGACCAGCCTAGGCAACATAATGAGACCCTGTCTCTATCAAAAAAAAAAAAAAGAAAGAAAGAAATCTGGCTTGAGAGCATTCTGTATTTGGATAAAAACATTGGTGAAAAAGACCATGGAAGCAGTTAGCAGAATAGTGTGATAATGGTGAGTATGTAAGTGTGCCTTCCCAAGTGAGCAGAGCAAACTACCTGTTTTAAAATGACTGTTTCCTCTTGTTTTAGATCTGGACCACCTCTGAAGGCAGGCAAGACTCGAACCTTTTATGGTCTGCATCAGGTATGAGAAGAACATGATCATTTGGTAAACCCTCAATGAGCACCTAATGTATACCAAGTATTGTGACTGTCTAGTCATACTAAACATTTTGTGTTGGATTGTATGATTTTATTCTGGTATTAAGCAGAAACATTTAAGATTAAGAGGCAAATTACTGTCAAAAAGTACTGCCTATCTTATATTCCTCAATCTGAAGGCTTTCTTTATCCGGTTGTGGCTCTGGCTTACATAGAATTATTTGCAGAAGTATCCTCACTCACTCTGCCTCTCAAACATAGAAGTTATAAAATTTTGCCAGGACACACAGGTTTAAAGAAAAAAAAACCACAACCAAATTTCACCATGAGTTTAGCCCTGTTGCTACAGTTAAAGTAATTGTGTGGGAGCTCAGTGAGTTTCCACGTGTAAAATTCCCCGCTGGAAATGAACGCATGAAAGAAATAAAGTGGTTGATTTGGTGTATCTGTGGGACAGGACTTCCCCAGCGTGGTGCTAGTTGGCCTCGGCAAAAAGGCAGCTGGAATCGACGAACAGGAAAACTGGCATGAAGGCAAAGAAAACATCAGAGCTGCTGTTGCAGGTTATTTTACTTTTTAAGTTTAAAGAATCCTAAGGATCCACTCTTTATGATGACCTCTCTTTCCCCCTTTTTGTCCTTTTACCAATCGCTACCCCTTCCCACGTTCACACAGACATAATTCATCTTAACAAAAATTCAGTTCTTCTTGCTGAATATGCTTGGCTTTATGATAAATACAGAAGGTTAGCTAATGGAATTTTATTTTTAATGTGTCTATATCTTGTTTGGGTGTTTTTACTACCATTTGTTCGCTCTTGTCATGTTAGAGCTGTGTTTTACCGAAACCTGTAGTGCGTAGATTTTTGTAATGCCACCCTGATGTTTCCTGACTTTTAAATAACACAGAGTCATCAGATTTTACAAAGAAGGAGAGTAAGGAAGCAAAGCGTGGCATGTGTGTTTATCACTAGCCAAAGATGTGTGCCTGTCCCAGCGTGTGCCAGCAGAGGTCATTGAGTCACTTAGCGTTAAGCAGCAGGACGGGCCTAATACCGTCAAGAGCTATGATTAAAGATGCTTTAGAAAACATTTCTGAAACAGTGATAATTGGCTTGATTACTCTTTAGGCCTGTGTATATTGTAAATGCTCATTAACTTCAGATGTCACTGAAGTGGTTATTTAATAACTTTTATTTGAGAGTTTTTGCTGACCTGATCTTAATAAAATGCTGTGTTAATAATGGACTTTGCTCAGTTCCTTGGATATAATTTCAGCATCATCATTTCCCTGCCATTTTTAATCAGAGAAGTTCTTGGCAATTGGGAAGCTTCATCAGGAAATCATAGTGTTTCAGAAATAATCCTAGGAATAATTGCCACTTCCTGAGAGCCTGTATTGCTCTCCGGGGGGAGCTGTTCATTCTTTCCATCAGCCTGTCCTCACCACCAGCACCTGGGCGTGAGGTACTTTCTGTGAAATGCACTCACATCTTCATTTTTCAGAAGAGGAAATGAGGCTCAGAACATTTGGGTATCAGGGCTGGGATTTGAACCCCAGGGCTGTTTTCTCAGCACACCACACCATGCCTCTGCTGTGTGCTATTTGAATTGTCTTGGACTGACTCCAGTTTTCTGATTCCTCTGTCCTTTCAAGCGGGGTGCAGGCAGGTTCAAGACCTGGAGCTCTCTTCTGTGGAGGTGGATCCCTGTGGGGACGCTCAGGCTGCTGCGGAGGGAGCGGTGCTTGGTCTCTATGAATACGATGACCTGAAGCAAAAAAAGAAGATGACTGTGTCCGCGAAGCTCTATGGAAGGTGATGGAAGCAAATGAGGAGGAGGGTGGTGCTCCCTGGCATTCTGACAGCCTGGCTTTTGGGATATGAGCTGCCTGCTTTTCAGCGCCACCCACAGCTGCATGGCTTGGCTGTGACCTCCCCATTGCCTCAGCCGTTTTAATAATGTGGTCACAATTAAGCCCAAGCTCTGCTCCTGGCTCTCGTCTTGTGTCTGTTTCCCCCATGACTCCCGGATCCCTCCCTGCTCTGATTACAAGGAAGCCATAAACAGGTAGCTCTTACCTGAGAGGGAGGAATGACATGACAGACATATCCCACAGGTTTCAACCCAGATGATGTTCATTTGGCTGGCACCTGCTGGCCTTGTGCTAAACGCAAGCACCACACAGATGAAGAGATCCTCTGGATGCTTGGTCCTTGCCCTTGTGGGCTAGTGGGGTCCCTGCTATCAGGAATAAATAAGATGAGACCTTCAGCAGATGGTGCCAAGCACAGTGGGGGCCCTGGCACTGCCCAAGGGTTGGCAGCTGTGGGGAGTGGGGGAGAGTGCGGGCTCTGCAGCCAGTCAGCATGGGCTTAAGTCCTGCCTCCACCACTTACTCGTTGGGGGACCTTGCTGGTTACATGACTGAAATCTCTGTGCTTCATTTTCTACTTTTGTTAATAGAGTCGTAACACTGATTTCATGGGGTTTGTGTCATCATCCAAAAGGGCACATCAAGTGGGGGGCACGTGGTAGGCCTTCCAGGCCATCTACTGTTACTCACCCACCTCTGTGTTGCCACAGGAAGAGCCAGGGTTGTGAAACACGTGCCTGTATCCTTTCTCTTCTAAAGCTGGTCCTGCTTACAGAAGGGTTGGAATTTGGAGCCCCGACTTAGGTAAAAGAAGGCAAAAAGGCCTTCAGTGCCACATTAGAGCCACTGCCGTATGCTTGCTTTGCAGTTAGCACTTGGGGCTCCATCATTCCTGATACAGTGAAGGAGAACAAAACGCGCCTTTCTGTGGAAGCCTCTTCTCTTCATTTATGTGGCAGATTTAGAGCTTCAAAGACCCCACAGCACAGGCCCTTTTTCATGCAGCTGAGGATTCTGAAGGGAAGTGCCTGACCCTCTGGTTCTGCTGCACGTGGCCATGTTTTCTAGCTCTTTGCACCATACCATCTGCTGCCCTGGGTCAGATCACGAAAAATGAATCCAGGTCCTGAGTGCCAATCGTTTTTGATTTGTAGTCTTCCTCTTTTGTTTTCTGTAGGGTAAGAGTGTCTCCTAGTTGGCAGGCAGTCGGCATTCTTGAGAGGTTCTTTGACAGTCACTTTATCTTTCTTCTGCCAGTGGGGATCAGGAGGCCTGGCAGAAAGGAGTCCTGTTTGCTTCTGGGCAGAACTTGGCACGCCAGTTGATGGAGACGCCAGCCAATGAGATGACGCCAACCAGATTTGCCGAAATTATTGAGAAGAATCTCAAAAGTGCTAGTAGTAAAACCGAGGTCCATATCAGGTAATTCAGGATTGTGTCACAGACTTGGGATGTTACAGCCAGAAGGAGCCCTTGAGATCCTAAAATCCAGCTCCCTCACTATTTAGAGGAATAACTTGAGACCAGAGATTTGAGATGACCCACGGGGGGCCACACAGGAGCTGGAATAGAGCTGAGTTTGAGGTTCTTTCTATCTGTCCTTGCCTTTGAGAGAGTGCCATGATACACTATGTACGTGTATGTTTCATAACCGTGTTATTCAGACACAATTAACGTACCATACAGTTCACCAATGCGAAGTGTGCAATTCAATGATTTCAATGATTTTTTTTTTTCTTTTTTTTTTTTTTGAGACAAGGTTTTGCTCTGTTGCCCAGGCTGGAGGGCAGAGGCATGAACATGGGCTCAAACTCCTGGGCTCTGGCCTTCCACCCTAGCCCCCTGAATAGCTGGGTTTACAGGTGTGTGCCACCATGCCCAACTAATTTCTTAATTTTTTGTAGAGATGGGTCCCGCCATGTTGCCCATGCTGGTCTTGAACTCCTGGGCTGAAGCAATCTCACCTTTTCCTCCTAAAGTGCTGAAATTACAGCCATGAGCCCCCCAGCCTGGCCTGATATTTAGAATATTCACAGAGTTGTGCTACTATGACCACAATCAATTTTAGAACATTTTCATAACCCCCAAAAGAAACCCTGTACCCATTAGCAGTTACTGCCTGATTCCCATTCCCTAAAACCATCAGGGGATGGACACCGGTTGTTTTTTACCTTTTTTTTCTTTTTGGTTGAATAGGAGTTGAATTGCTGAATCAAATGGTAGCTCTGTTTAATTTTTTGAGGAACTTAACATGGTTTATTTTGGTGAATTCTTCCTATCTTCACTTTTGGACACAAATGAAGAACACAGCATGCCTCACTAGACATGGGATGGGAATTTCTGCCGCGTAGATTCCCTTAGCCTAGACTCCAGCATCAGTGCTCCCAGGCAGCCCTGAGTGCCATGTCAGTGGGAGGCTGTTGGAGCTGAAAGGCTGCTCATCCAGTTCCGTCGCTCTCTTGGGATCTCCAGCCCTTTAAGCAAACCAACTCTGAGCATTTGGGAATTTATGATTAAAACACATCAACAGGTATTTGTTTGACCTAAAGAATTCTTTATTGTCAAAGCTGTTTCCCAAGGGTACTTCCATTTTAAAGAATTCTTTAGTACTTAATTGTGATTAGAGTTCACTTTTTTTTCAGGAATGCACCTATGGTTTAGGCAGTGAAGAAAAATTTATAGAAAACACAGTACTTAGAGCTTGATAAAATTTCTGGAATGGTTAGTATATGTTTAATCTATAGCAGTGTTTAGGTTCTTTTGGTCACCAAATAATGGTGATGACAGCTCCTCTGGTGTGCCTGGAATTTGTCATACAAAGATGCATGACAGTGGTCCTTGTCCTTGCAAAAAGTGAGGATATTGTAAGAAGGAATAGGCAGGTAAATGGGTTTGCAGAGGGTGCTGCAGGAGCAGAGGGACGAGGGGGACTGCCAAAGAATATGGAGCTGCTGGTGCGATTGTCCACGCCTCTATTTGCAGCTACTCAGGAGGCAGGCAGGAGGGTAGCTCAAGTCCAGAAGTTCAAGGCCAGCCTAGGGAACATAGCAAGACCCATCTCTAAAATAAAAATTTTAAAAAGAATATGGAGTCTAGGCCAGGGGTAGTGGCTCATGCCTGTAATCCCAGCACTTGGGAGGCTGAGGCAGGTGGATCACTTAAGGTCAGGAGTTCGAGACCAGCCTGGCCAACATGGCGAAACCCCATCTCTACCAGAAGTACAAAACTTAGCTGGGAGTGGTGGTGCGTGCCTGTGTTCCCAGCTACTCAAGAAGCTGAGGCACAAGAATCGCTTGAACCTGGGAGACAGAGGTTGCAGTGAGCTGAGATCACACCACTGCACTCCACCCTGAGCGACAGAGTGACACTGTGTCTCAAAAAAAAAAAAAAAAAAAAAAGACTGGAGCCTACGCAGAGTCCTGTAGGTTGTTTAGAAGTTAATAGTACAAGAGAGTGGGGCAGGGCAGTTCAGGTGAAGAAGGTGCAAGACTTGTAGCCATGCAAAGAGAAAAGAGTTCAGCAGAGACCAGGCAGGACGCATGGGTGGAGTATGACTCGTTAAACTGAGACATAGCTGCACTAAGCCCTCTCCGTTGTAGGCTGGTGTATATCAGAGATACACAGGCAGTTCTTCCACAAGGGCAGGACTTTAATCAGACGTCAAGCACTGAGTTAATGATTTAAAATGCCCACATTGCCCAGCCTTGTTTTTTTTTTTTTTTTTTTGAAGTGATTTTTAAAACTGTTTTATCTTCCAATTTAAAATTTTTTTCCCTTCGAAGTGTGCTGATCATCCCACCATGATGCAGAGTCTGTTTAATCATTTTAAATCGAGTGGCTGGCAAGGTGCTGGGAGAGAGCATTTCCCTGGGCTGGTGGTTCGGTTTACTGGTTCTGTAAGGAGGAGTAGGATTTCTTCTTGGGCCTGGATGGTTTAGCTGGTGGGCCAGGAACATCGAATCACCACCCGCGCCCCGTGGGTGTGTTCTAGGCTTGGAAAGTAAGGAGCGATGATATTGGCATTTCAGTTTTGCGTAGTTGTGACGTAAGGAGCTGTGTCGGCGCGTCTGGTACCGCGCGCGCCCGGGCCTGAATCCGGTGTTTTTGGTAGTCGAGTCAGAGAGACTAATTAGTTTTCTCACTTTAAATTCAGAAGATGCCTTAACTGGCTACGTGAAACTGTGTGATGAAACAGTA